TGGGAAAAATTTAACCACATACAACCATTAACAAGCACATACGAGACATACCTTAGCAAAGAGGTCGACCACTTATTGTTACGGTCTACCGGAATAAAAATAAACCGCCACCAACACCCGATCACAATAAGAGCGATGAGATTACAACTTCACTTCAACAAATTGCATAAATCGAAGTACGATTAAAGTCTTACGACTCCCATCTATTTATAGATAATGTAGACGAATTCCTTATCCAATTGGTGAAAGATATATAAAATCATAATTCGACAAGGACAAGTACACAAAATCCTAATTGTACAAGGACATGAATCATTACGGTCGACCTCTTTGCACAAATGGTCGACCGTCTTGGGTAAATGTGAAACAGGTCGACCTCTTTACACAAATGGTCCACCGTTGTTTTTAAATGTGAAACAGGTCGACCTCTTTACTGAAATGGTCGACCATTGATTATAAATGTGAGCACAGGTCGACCTCTTGACACGAATGGTCGACCGTATTTTATTAAGGCCAAACAGACGAGATTCCATACTTATTCTACATGGTTTTTGACTTTGCTACGGTATCATAGGTCGACCTTAAGCGTCACGAGGTCGACCTGTGCTCTGCCTTTGGGTATGCCCGCTTTGAGCATGTGGTCGACCACATTTTCTAGACGATTGAAATCGTAAATTCAGTCACATTCATAATTGTATAACAAATCTAATAAACGATAAACATTCAAAATCCAAAATGACACGATCTCGCAAATACAAATTCAATGTATGGTCCAAATAATGCAACATTGTAACTTAACGACTTCATTTCTTTGCTTTTTTGTTTGAACTCTGTCTCTCTTTGCCTCGTTCCATGCATTCATCTACTACATGCTTGAAAAGATTTTCTCGTGCACGGTTTTCAAAATGTGTAGCCAGATACCATAGAATCTCCTTTCGAGCCGGTAATTTGTGTTCTTCTCCTATCTGCATTATGCCATGTAAGATTTCGTTACAACTAAAAAAAGTGTAAATTACACTAGTTATTTGTTTGACGATATACTCACCACTCTATCAAGATCCTTGGATCCATAGCGCATCCACTGCATGACGTACACACCACACTCAATACTATTCCTTTGCCGTTGAACTAGTAGCTCATCAAAATTGAAATCTCCAAAATTTGGTACTACTACATTGCTCATGCGCTCTGGTTTCAAAATATCATCCAAAGTGGACAACTACACACAAATAACGAAAATTTTAAGCTTCTAGCATAATACGTAACGCTTAGTAGTCAGAAAATTATAGGAAACACTTACCAATTTCTTGCATAGTGCTGATTTACGCCTACGATTCGCCTCACTAGTTGAAGGTAGACTGTCAAGCAAAAATGCAGTTTTTTGCTGGACATTGACGAGATACAGAAACCAATGACGTGCTTCATCGTCAAGAACTGGCATAAATATCTAGCAACGAAACACTCACTATATGTTATAAACAGCGAATACAAACAAATGCACTTTTGAAATTTAATGATATAGGGACATTGACTAGACTAACCTTCTGGCATGCACTGACATTCGGCATAAAGTCCACGCCATCATTCATCAACTTGTTACGAATTTGTCTGGTCTTCATGTTAGCGCGTACCATTTTCTGCACCATGTTTTAGTTGAGATGAATTGACATGGTACAATATAAATAACTAGGTTATGACAAATAATTTGACATTACGGCTCTTACCGAAAACATATTTGGCAAATACCACACTTTTGGCTCTTTCACATCATGTTTTTCAGACATTGTTAGTGCCCTTGCACACAAATTCACTACCTACCATCCAACAATCAAACACAAAATCATCGTAAATGGTAACATAAATAGTGCACAATTCATACGAAAGTCGTAGTAGTATAGTACTTACTGATGAGCAAACCCAGCTATTCTCGCTAATGACCGAACTCAAATAATGTCGTTGCACATTTTCAGAAAAAAAGTCCAAAACGGTCAAACTGCAAAAATCAAAATAACAGAAATGTCAATTGTGATTTGCAACGTACAGGTCGACCTGTTCACAGTCACGGTCGACCTTATTGGACAAACGGTCGACCTTATGGACAATACGGTCGACCACACGTACTAAAAAACGTCTTACTTGTCCAATTCTTGTCCCCCAACCTTCTCTTTAGTAACAACATAATACAAGTCTTCAACTGGATTTTGAAGATTTTTGGTGAATCTTTCTAGACCCTCCACTTTCATGACCTACAAATCATAGTTAAAATTAAAGTAACATATGAACACAAACACACATTATAGATGAATATGTAACGTAAACTGTACCCCGTGCTTTTCGAAAGGACTCTTAGATTCATCTTCATCGCTATCATCACTAAATAATCCCTTTCTTACAAATTGATCATTCTGTGGAGTGGTGTAGGAGTCACTTTCATATCGCGGTCTCTTGTCATTAGGAGAGGAACCCTTGCGGCCATTCGTTGTTTCACTCTGTCAAACATATAAACAAAACAAATTAGCACTAATGATAGTAATACTAATATCAATCACATATGAATATACTTGGATACCTTTAAAATGTGCTCTTTCAGTAAATCGTCTATGCTCTGGTAGCAATTTTCAGAGTCATCATGGTCTTCATCCCTCTTTACCAAAGTCAAATTTCCTTCCTTTACCATTTCTTCCGCCATTCTCCATTCGTTCTGCACTTATATCTTTGATAGCACCTTCTAGCCTCTCAAACCCGTCATGCATCATCCCAGTCATATCTGTCAGTCGAACTGACAATTGCTCCACTCTATCACGCATGGACTTCTGAAAGTCATTGACTTGTGTTTGACACACCACCAGCTTCTCTTGTGTGGCTTTCAACAATTTCATGATTTCACCCAAATCTTGGTGCAGTTTCTCATCATGCGTCATCGTCTAAACAATTTAAAGAAAAATTCAAATCATAATTCAAGTACAAATTTCTACAATTGACCAAAAAACAAAGACGTGGTCGACCTGACAAAGTATTAGGTCGACCTGGAAGACAAATAGTGACTACCACAACTCGTCAGGTCGACCTCTGTTATTCCTAGGTCGACCTATCCAGCAGGAAAATAACAATTAACAACAAAAAGTAAGTTCAAAATTAAACCGAAAAAAGGATAGGTCGACTAGATATCTGTCGCGGTCGACCTTTTCAAGCACAACATAGTCATACAAACAAAGCCAAAGTCGACATTCGGGTTGAATAACAAAAAAACATAAACGGTCGACCTTGAAACCCATTAGGTCGACCAATTGGGTTACCTCGCAAGTACAGAAGTCCAAGTGTTGTGGCCTAAATTCAAATACGAAGAATTGTCTCGTCAGGTCGACCTGGTTGACGTCACGGTCGACCGAATTTAATTCTGCACCCAACAATATATCAAGTTAGCCGGTAGAAATCACGCATTAAAAAAGAAGACGGCGAATGCTACATTAGGTCGACCGCACCTTAGACCTGGTCGACCACTTCCAACACGTACAACAGCAACTGCGAATGATCTTCTTCACAAAGGCTCTAAGTCGGAAAAAACCTAATTCAGACTTGGTGGCGTTGAAGGGGACTTATATTAGTATTTATAGAGATTTAGGACGTGAATGGGTCGACCCAATTCGTTTCCTTGTCCAATTGTGGAACCTTCCTGGTGTTGGAATCCATATCCAATACGGATACGGTGTGAAGGCGGTCGACCTCTTCATAATGCGGTCGACCTGTTAGGTGCACAAGGGTCGGCCTATGAGATATTTGGGTCGACCTTTCATTCTGTTAGACCACCAAAGAGGTCGACCGTATTATGTAAGAGGTCGACCGCTTCTCGGAACCCCACATACATGAATTAGTCCATTCGGTCGACTGCATGTTGGATTAGGTCGACCGAAAAGTCTGCATGTCACCGTAGCAAAATCCTAAGAGTTATTGTGCTTCAAGGTCATAAGCAATTGATAACTTCTCTAAAGTGTAGATGAACAATGAACCAAGATGCTAATAAAAGTGGAATGTAAAACTACTTCAATCTATTGTCTGAATTAACATTGTTTGATTTTGTTAGTTGAGTTGGTTGATATTTTGATTTTGGAATTATATGATTTGTATATTTTAAAGTTGCATCGTACTTTCTCAATATATTTGGAAGGAGAAAACTCCAAGAGGACAACATTAATCTCATTAACATTTGTAAAATGGAAATCTAAATAGACAATCGAGTGAGGCAAGGAAGGAAAGCCACAAACCCCACCTATCTCTTAGGTTTTTGACTTCTCTCTAACTCCAGCTCCTTTGTGCAGCTCACCAAGGGTTATCGTCGACACCTCTTAATGACTGGTGGTAGCTCAATGACCCATCTCTCTTCTTGCTATCTTTTTCGACTTATTTGCCTCTGTTCAGGCGCGTTTCAATAGAATATTCCACCCTTTAGCTTCTCCGGTCTTAATGGCCTTTTCCTTCAACTGTTCCAGGGTTCGTTTTGCTAGGTTTCTCTTCTTGGGGGTTGAGTTATGAATCTTGGGTCTCCTCTCAAGATGGTGGGTTTATCAGCTTGTGTGGTGAATTAATTTACCAATTTTCCACTCTGTTTCACCTCTAATGGTATGTTCTGCCTTTTCATCGGCTTCGATGGATGAATAGTGGTGTCTGATCCGACTGGCTATGATAAGAACTTTTGGCTCTTGGAGTTTGTAAAAAAGAAAAGGGTAAATACAATTTATTAGCCAAACCTTTCGTTTTAAACAAAATAATAGCCACACTTTTTCGAAAATAATATATTAGTCAAACCGTTAACTTTACATCCGGTTAGCGGTTAGTTGACTTTAACGTGGCAAAATAATAAATGAGGTGGGTTGGTATTGATGATGTGGCAAAAAATCAAAAGTTTGACTGTGCACAAGTCATTTTACCCAACAATTTTTATTTTATGAAAAATAATTAATCTAAATTAATACTAGTCCCACAAAACAAGACAGTCATTCTTTCCACCCCTTCTCGTCGATCAACTCTGCTGGGTTTTGATTCTCCCCTTACCTTCTCCACCTGCCACAAACCCTGCCCAGATTCCACCTCTAAAACATGAGCTTTTGACCAATATCCCCTCAATCACCGGTTCCCCTTCATCACAATCGCATCCTTCAATCTCCTCCCGCTCGATGTTCTTGCTGCGGATGAAGAGGTTTCCTTTGCCGGAGTGGAGGTTGAGGTTTGAGAGGAGCTTGGAGAGAGGTTGCATTCTTTGACGATCCAACGCTCGTCTATTTCTCTGAACTTCATCATTGGTTGGAGCTCAACGGAAGTTGTTAATTGAATGGTTAGCTAGGAATTGCAGGGATTGGGTGACAGTGGAGGTGAAGATGGTTCAAATTAGGAAGACATAGAGAGGGCTAGAGGGAAGAATTGGGTAACCAAAAATCACAAATCATGGCCAGTCGTCCGTCGCCGCCGCCGGCAGAGAGATTTGCTTGATCTGGGATTTTCGAACGATGTGTTCCAGATCTGCTTTTGATCCGACGACGGTTGCCGCGTTCCAGGGATCTCTTTCCAATCCCCCCATTCACCACCAAGTGCAGGGGTTGAGTAAGAGCATACAAGAGTCAGCAAGCACTCAGCCACCAAGGCACCAACTTTTCAGGCAAACGGGGTTGTTGCCACATTGACCCACCACCTACCATTTCTGACGTATAATTTCTTTGTCGATTTCATTACTCATTCATTAGGATCAACTTGTTAAGAAGCAAACAAAAACAATTGTTTGGGGGCTATTAATAAATTGATATTAAACTACAAAAAGGCCCTCCAAACCACAAATCCTTCCTAATAAACCCTTCACCAAACCAGCCATATAAATAAATAATCAGAAATAAAATACTATAAACCCTTGAGTGGAGTCGGAGGCAATAGGGAGTGGGGAAGTGGGCTGACACTCTGGAGAATTCAGAATAGTGGTTTTTGTTTGCCGCTACCCCTCATTGCGATCTTGGTTTCTTCCCCCAAAGCCGCCACTCCCACCAATCGTCCCTTTCTACCCTCTCTGATCCCATGGCTTCGCGGTTGTTGTGGGCTTCCAGAGCCGCTTCCTTGCTCAGGATCTCCGTTCCCTACAGGGGATTTGCTTCTGGTAAATCGTTTCCTTTCCAATTTTCCTCCACGTTTTGATTGCCTTCCTTCCTTCCTTGCATGATCTCCTTTTTGTTCGTTTCGTAAAAGAATGGTCCATGGTCATATCGGTGGATGTGGATCTCAACTGATCTACTCTCTTGATTTGGTTTTTGTAAGTCGGTTCTCGGCTGTGTCTTATTCATTCTGGGTTTTCTGCCTTGTCCTTAGCAACAATTCATGTTGTACCAAAAGGGGATTTTATTCGTTCGTAGGGATTATAGGTCATGTCGCTCGCAATACCCTAAATCCGTCGGGCTCTGTTTTTCCTTGATTCAAATAGAAAGATGCTTACTTTGGGGATGAAAGGGATGGACGGGGAAGGCTAATGAATCATTTGCATGATTGGTTTTGTTTTTCAAGACGCTTGTGTATTTGGAACTAACGCGAAGTCCAGTGAGTCACAATTTTGATGTAAGGTGGTGTGGTGTGGTTGCTGAGGAATTATTAGTGTTTAATTGTTTGTTTCCTCTGCCTATTCCCTTTCTGTGCTGTCCTTTTCTCTTTTCTCTGTGACATGTTAAAATTGCAAACATTCAATGTCATCTTCTGAGGAATACCAAGATTCTCAGGAAAACGATAGTTGGCAATGGCAATCTTGGTGGGTTCTTCTTTTGCACACACACCACTTGCAGGCCCAGGGGAGGGAATAAAGACAAAGAAAAATGGTGAAACATGTGAGGAGAATTTAATTATGTTAATTGGATTAGGAATGGTTAATGTATGAGATGGCAGAGAACATCCCAATCTTGTATATTCTTTGCCATGCCTTGCCTTCATCCTCCATTTTCGAGCTCGATATCACTGTTTTTCTTCTCTGTTGCAAGGTCAATAGACTGAGGAATCTCTATCTTGTTGAATGGTCATGTGTGGTATTGGTTGGCCTATTATGCTACAGCTTCCATGATAGTAGATTTCGGTTGACATCCCTGAATGATAGTTTTCTCAGAAAACGTAGATACGTTCAGCTTTGATCGATGCATTGCCAATGTTGCTGCAGTTATCAAGGACCTGAAGTACGCGGAGAGTCACGAGTGGGTGAAAGTCGATGGCAACTCTGCCACGGTTGGGATAACTGATCATGCTCAAGACCATCTAGGGGATGTTGTGTATGTCGAGCTACCAGAATTGGGTACGGAAGTTACCCAGGGAAACAGTTTCGGTGCAGTTGAAAGCGTCAAGGCTACCAGTGATATCAACTCTCCGGTTTCTGGGAAAGTAGTTGAAGTCAATGAGGAGCTGAATGGGTCCCCTGCTCTGGTTTGTCTCTCGCTGCCCCTTTTGGTTCTTTTTGTTTCGTGGGTGCTTTGCTGCAGAGATAAAATGCAACTTTTTTTTTTGGTGCAATGCGTTTCATGGTTTGTTGTGTTCTTCTTCCAGGTGAATACGAGCCCGTACGAGGAAGGGTGGATTATAAAGGTGGAATTGAAGGATGCTGGTGAGCTTAACAACTTGAAGGATGCAGATGCCTACTCCAAGTTTTGTGACGAAGAAGATGCAAAGCATTAGGAGGGGTTTCGGGATTTATTTCTGCTTGGTTCTTCTGTCTTTTGGGAATGACATTGTTGCGATCTTATGAAGGGGAAGCTAGATTGAAAGCACGTAACTTTTGATTTTCCCTCTTTATGATCGAGTTCTTTTCGAATATGTTTCACTCTTCTGAGGAAGCTAGATGTGGTGGGTGTTGGTAGGGTAGGAGTCTTGTTCTGAACCTTGGAAATAATAATTGGAAAGATTGGAGATGTTTGATTCGTTTCCAGGTCCCATGAGGGTGTTTAATTTACAGGTTGGATTGGCAAGTTTGTTAAATTGCAAGTTTGGTTATTTTTTTTTTTTTTTTTATCCAAGATAAGCCCAGGGGATGCCTGGTCAACACAATTACAAGAAAGACACTAAAAAAGACGGTAGTCCGTTTGCAACCGGACTCCCGATAAAAGAGCTTGTTTTACCACGAGGTGGGCAGCTCTGTTGAAACTTCGAGGAGCAAAAAGACACGAGACAGATAGGAAGGAGGAAAGGAGAGAGTGGACTTCCTCTAATATAGCTCCCGCTCTTAAATGCGAAGCCTTCTTTGATGACACATCCTTGATGACCAATTGAGAGTCCCCACAAAAAACAACAGTCAAGAAGTTGTGGGTGAGACACCATTTCATAGCATCACGAATAGCAAGTAATTATGATATATAGGCATCTGAGATGCCCTGATAGAATTTACCAATTGCAAATGTGATATTTCCATCACATGAAAAGCCGACGAAGCTAGTTGCACATCCTTGAGGGATTTTTGTTGCCCCGTCAAAACGAACTAGGATACCTTCAATAGGGAGGGAAACATCTGTTCTCCTTGAATGAGGACCTTGGCCTGTGGAAGAGTGAGGCATTGACCTTCGGACTTCTTCGGATCTCTGAACCTTCTGTGCCTCTGCCATACTCCATTCCTCCACCTGCGCTAATAGTTGCCTGTATAGAACATGTGACATGTATAAAACGTGTCCATAAGTAGCCTTGCATCGGCCTTTCCATATTCTCCAAAATAAGAATACAATGAAAGCTACATCATTCTTGGAGATATGGGGTGTTAAAAAGAGGTTTCTCCACGTAAGATCCATAGAACATGCCCTCATAATATCTCTTATATGGTCAAGGTCAGATAATGTCCACAATTCTCTAGTGATTCTACAGTCGAAGAAGCAGTGCTTGAAGTCTTCATTTACCTCGCAGCAAACGTGACATATACTTGATGAAATAATTTTCTTATAAAGGAGGATTCCTTTAACTGGTAAAAATCCACGCACCAATCTCCAAAGAAAGAATTTGAGTTTAGGAGGTATTGGAATACTCCACATGAATTTTCAGAACTTGGTGTTCAAAAATTCTGTCAGGGAGTTCATGGGTGAAGTTAAACCATCCGAAAGGAGGTGGTACCCCGATTTAACTGTATAATGGCCAGACTTGTCATAGTGCCAAATCAATTTATCTTCTTGGAGGGAAGATGAGAGAGGGATAGATAAGATTTTATCGATCGTGGCAGGGAAATAAGGTTTTAAGCAAGTCTAAATTCCACTCCATAGCATTAGAGTCCAGAAGAAATGAGACCATTGAGTGATCTAGTGAGGCGCCAATTAACAACACAGGGCTAGAAGGAGGGTCTGATGGTAGCCAAGGGTCAAGTAAGGTGTTTATCATAGATCCTGATCCTACTTGCCAACAAATATTTTTATTCAGTAAATCTCTACCCTGCAAAATACCTTGCCAAGTGTCAAACCGGGGTGCTCAATTAGTACGATATTGTCCGCTTTGGGCCAAGCCCGCACGGTTTTACTCTTGGGTGTCCTCCCCAAAAGGCCTCGTACTAATTGGGCTAGGTGGACTCTAATATATAAGGGTTCCTTCCCTTGTATTTCCGATGTGGTACTTGGATTGTACCCTAACAATCCTCCCCTCAAGACAAGGACCACGAACTTTGTGTCCTCACCTCAGCAATTATCTTGATCCGCCAGACACCTTGTATCGATGGGCTTCTCGGTACAAGGATTTTCCCAGACGCGGAACTCTCTTTGATCCGGCAAACAGACGTGGATCTCTCCACCAGAAAAATGCGGACCTCCCTCGATCCGCCAGATGAGCCCAAACGTGGATCTCTCGTGGATCCACCAAACAGTCGCGAATCTCAAATCCCGAGGCCACCGAATGAGGGTCCACCAAACTGACGTCCACCGCCCCGAACCAGGCTCTGATACCACTTGTCAAACCGGGGTGCTCAATTAGTACGATATTGTCCGCTTTGGGCCAAGCCCGCACGGTTTTACTCTTGGGTGTCCTCCCCAAAAGGCCTCGTACTAATTGGGCTAGGTGGACTCTAATATATAAGGGTTCCTTCCCTTGTATTTCCGATGTGGCACTTGGATTGTACCCTAACAATCCTCCCCTCAAGCCAAGGACCACGAACTTCATGTCCTCATTAGAAGTGATTCCTTCCTTCTTCTTGTAGATCCACTTGTTTGTAACAATCTTCCTTCCCTGTGGTCGTTTGACGAGCTCCCAAGTCTGATTCCTGTCATGGGATTCCATCTCATCTCCCATTGCGGCAAGCCACTGATCAGCTTCACCACCCGAAATTGCTTCTCTATAGGACTGTGGCTCTCCTGCATCCACTTCTTCAGCAACCTGAAATGAATACGCCACCATGTCCTCGAAGCCATACCTTTGTGGAGGTACTCCTGCAGTCGCTCTCTTCGGTCTACCGGAAGCAATAGACTGTTGAGCTCGTGCACTGGACTCTGAAATTTCTTGCTCTGCAGAGACATCCTCATCATGTTGATCTTCTCCACCTTGGTGCTCAAACTCACTCTCATTGAGAGTTTGCAGCTCCACCTGCTTATCAACATTCCTGCTACCTTCAACAACAGTGACCTTCAACATGGGGTTAAACATAGACTTCTCATCAAATATCACATTTCTACTAAGTATAACTCGATGCTCAGAAGGTGACCAGACTCGAAATCCCTTAACTCCATCTCCGTAACCCACAAATACACCCTTCTTTGCCCTTGGGTTCAGTTTACCCTCATCCACGTGATAATAAACAGGACACCCAAAAACTTTCAGTGAAGAGTAATCAGCAGGCTTACCATACCACACTTCATAAGGAGTCTTACACTCGATACCTGTGTGTGGTCCACGGTTGATCAGGAAACACGCCATGTTTACTGCTTCTGCCCAGAATCTTCTCTCTAGTCCAGCATTAGAGAGCATGCACCGTGCTCTCTCCAACAATGTCTGGTTCATCCTTTCTGCAACGCCATTCTGCTGGGGTGTATCTCTCACGGTCCGATGACGGGCAATCCCTTAATCCTTGCAGAATTCGTTGAACTCAGAACTGCAGAACTCCAGACCATTGTCCGTTCGCAGCTTCTTGATCTTCTTCCCGGTCTGATTCTCCACCAATGTCTTCCACTGCTTGAACTTCGTGAAAGCCTCACTTTTCTGCTTCATCATGAAAATCCAAGTAAATCTCGAATAATCATCAATAATAGACAGAAAATACCTGCTGCCTCCAATGGATTCAACTCGTGAAGGACCCCAACAGTCGGAGTGGAGGTAATCCAGTATCCCCTTCGTCCGGTGGATACCCTTCTTGGGAAACTTGCTGCGATGTAGCTTCCCAAACACACAATGCTCACAGAATTCCAAATTATGCACCTTGTGCCCGCAAAGAAGATCCCTCTTCGATAGAACTTGCATCCCTCTTTCACTCATATGCCCCAGTCTCATGTGCCAGAGAGTGGTCATATCTTCCTGTTGAACCTGAGACGATGCAACTGCCCAAAAGGCCGCTCAATTAGTACGATATTGTCCGCTTTGGGCCAAGCCCGCACGATTTTACTCTTGGGTGTCCTCCCCAAAAGGCCTCGAACTAATGAGCTTGGTGGACACTAATATACAAGGGTTTCTTCCCTTGTATTACCGATGTGGTACTTGGATTGTCCCATAACAATCCTCCCCTCAAGCCAAGGACCACGAACTTCGTGTCCTCTCCTCAACGATTATCTTGATCCGCCAGACGCCTTGTATCGATGGACTTCTCGGTACAAGGACTTTACCGGACGCAGAACTCTCTTTGATCTGCTTCCCAAATGCGGAACTCTCTTTGATCCGCCAAAGCCCAAACGTGGATCTCTCGTGGATCCACCAAACAGACGCGAATCGCAAATCCTGAAGCCACCAAATGAGGGATCCACCAAACTGACGTCCACCACCCCGGATCTGCCGAACTAGGCTCTGATACTACTTGTCATAACGAGGCCAGCTCAATTAGTACGATATTGTCCGCTTTGGGCCAAACCCGCACGGTTTTACTCTTGGGTGTCCTCCCCAAAAGGCCTCGTACTAATTGGGCCAGGTGGACTCTAATATATAAGGGTTCCTTCCCTTGTATTTCCGATGTGGTACTTGGATTGTACCCTAACACCAAGCCTAAGAGGGGCGGGCCCCCCTGACGGGCTAGAAGGAAATGAGTTCACAGATAAGTCTCCAGGCTTGCTTGGCTAGCATTGCTACATTGGACCTATCAAAGTCTCTAAATCCCAATCCTCCTTCAAATTTGCTGAAACAATATTCAGACCATGATAACCAATGTATACCTTTTTCTTTGTCTTGGCCTGCCCACCAAAAAGTGGAGAGTTGTCCGTTCATCCTTCTACACATATTAGAAGTGAGTCTAAAGCAGGACATTGCAAAGATGGGAGTTGCTGTCCCAACTGCTTTAATGACTACTTCTTTGGCAGCCAAAGACATGTTTTTTGATTTCTAATGGCGTATTCGGTTTGCTAAAGAGTCTTCAATATACCGAAAAGTTTGGATTTTAGATCTATGAACTTGAGATGGAAGTCCAAGATATCTATCATGAACTCCAATTGCTGACACACCAAGTAAACCAGCTAGGCGAGAAGCTTCCAAGTCTAAGACATTAGCACTAAATGTAACAGCTGATTTCTGGATATTAACTCGTTGCCCACTCACCACTTCATATTCATGAAGTATTTCAATTAGACGAGCAAATTCAGTAGAGGAGGCATGGAGGAATAGGTAGGAATCATCCGGAAAGAATAGGTGGGAGATCAGTGGAGCTTCTCTGTGAATACGTAGCCCGTGAAGGTTAGAGTTTCTAATGGAATTCTCTATAAGGGATGAGAAAGCTTTTGTGTATAGAGCGAATAAGAAGGGGGGGGGGGGGGGGGGGGGGGGGGGGGGGGGAGGGTCCCTTGGCGTAAGCCTCTTTGAGGATGGAAGTATCCATGGATAGACCCGTTTAGGACAATGGAGAATGATACAGTTGTCACACATTATCTTTGAAACATCCCACCTCTTTGCATTTGGAAAAAGACATTTCTACCCCGAGGTATAATTAAAAATCTCAAATAACACAAGTTTAAATAAAATACCAAACTCAATTATCTTAACATCTCAAATTGAAGCCCTAAACACGTGGGCAAAACTTAAATTTTCCAAAAGAAATGAATTCCAATCTTTAACTCTTAACCATAAAGTCTTAATAACTTGGAAAAAGGTCTCCGATGCTTACTCTGATGCCTGGCTCAACATCTCTCAGCGACGCTGGTGTTGAGCTCCTCTAGCTTGCTGATCACGGACTGGCTGGTTAGGATTTCCTCCTCTACCATTTGGTGAGTGAGTTGGGGTTAGTCTATGCCCTTACGATTGAAATCTCTAATATTTCTTACTTAAGAACTTAACTTAAATTGGTGGATGATACTTCCACCCTCTTAATCTTAAAACTCAAATTTCGACTTAAAAAAATTTGACTTGACACTGGGATCCCTCACTAGCTAGTCCGGTTGCCAACTCATACGTATGAGAAGCCATCCATGCTTTCCTTAAACTTAAACTTAGTTAGGAGAGTCGTAACGATTCATCCCCCTAACATCTTAAACTTATCGTGGTGGCTCTTCACCACGATTCTCAAGAGCATAACTGCTGCTCATCTTAAAAGTCTCAAGAGCATAACTGCTGCTCTATCTCAAAATCTCAAAAGGCAACGGACTGGCGCTAGTGACTAAAAACACTTGAAACGACTTCACCTTCTTGAAGGTGAGTTACTTCTTAAAAAGAACTTGTTTCTTAACTTTAACAATAACTTACAAACTTAAAGCTTTAATTTCAAATAAGAGCTCATGCACATTCACATCAAACATAGCTCAAACAAAATCACATATCATCAACCATAAGCACAATCAAACAACGACAATCACTTCATCAAAATACTTAAGGCTTATAATTCGTGAAAGAACACGTAAGGCGTAGAATTTACCCCATTTACACTCACCTTGTAAAGATGACTCCTCGATTCCTTACTCGACGAAAACCCTCCTAGCCAAATTATCTCGGTGAACCTACTAATAAGAATGACATCTCCTTAGTCGACCTTTCTCGATTTAGAATTCCCTTTTGGGTCACTAGAACATCCTCCCCTCAACATCCAGCCCCCGAGACTCGCTCCCAAGGTCCCTTAACCCCCTTAAAAATTTTCTAGAAACAATCTGTAACATCCCGATCTCTAAAACCCTTAAATAACAATTTTGCTCCGGAGCATATTTAAAATTTTGAAAGAAAGAAACAATAATGTGCTCGAAATACCAATACTGAAAATACACCTTATGATTTAAAAGCAAAGCCCTAACATTTGGGCAAACCTCAATCCATAAAGTTTTATCATTTTAAATCTCCAGTCATTACTCATAATCATAAAGCGAATAACTAAAGATTACAAATGCTGCTTACTCCGATCCGTGATCAGACATCTTCAGAAGTGTTATCGTGGTCCCCCTCTGGTAGCCTGCTCTCTCACTGGGTGCTCCTCGACTGGATGCTCCCTAGCTCCTCCTCTACGACCTGGTGAGTGGGTTGGGGTCAGTCTACGCCATTACTTAAACTAGAAGCACTTACGGGTATTCCCTTAAGTGTTCACCTCAAAAACTCGTGGAAGTTGTTTATACTTCCACCTTTTAAACTTTAACTCTTAAAACGTGGGAGTTGTTGTTACTCGCCACTCTCAAAAAAATATTAAACCTTTGACCGACACTGGGATCCCCTCACTAACTAGTCCAACCGCCCAGCTCATACGTATGAGGGCCAACATAGGCCTTTCCTTAAACCTTTTTATGGGAGTAATCGATTCAACCCCATAAACCTTAAGAGTATATCATACTCTTCCTTTAAACTTCATGTGATGTCTAAGTGATTCATCCACATGTTCCTTAAGAGCAAACTAGCTCTTCCTTTAAACTTTCACTGGGTCGGGGGACTGTCGTTAGTGAACTATCTTTAAATCTTTTCACCCTAATTTAATTAGGAGTGAAATACCTCTTAAATATTGATCCTTAAAGATAAAAAAACCTTCACTAAATAAACATAAATATAAAAGCTTGAAGTAAATACTGAAAGCTCAAATAATCATCTCGGATAATATCTCAAATAGATCATGCTTTATCAATCACGACATAATTCAATCACTGGCATACAATTCACGTATACACACATACTTTAAAAACTCGTAAGGCAATTACTTGAAAACACGTAAGGCGTAGAATTTACCCCCTTAAACCACTCACCTCTCAAATGACGATCCTTACTTCCCTTGATGTGAGATCCTTAATCCGATCGCTTCATAAATCCTATCAACCGAAATTATCTTCCCTTAGTCGGTAATCCTCAAGTTTAGTCCCTTTAACGTATTGGGAAAAATTTCCCTCATTGATTACTTAGTCCCAAATTCCTTTAAAAATGGCCCTCAATCTCTTTTAAATCATTTTCTCAAAACTAAACTTTTCAACCTCTTTAATGAAGAATTAAATCATCTCAAACAACTCAATATTTCTTAAAATAATTCTCATACAATTCTCATAAATTTCTCAAATTATATTTTCCACTTAAGACTCCACATTCTGACCTTGGTTAACTCAAATCATTAATCCCAATTAATAAACATAAGCCCCTCTTTTAAATAACCTCTTTTTCCTATTAAAATTAATCATATATAATTTTTAAACCAAGTCACGAACACTAATAATTCTGATTCGTAATTTTATAACATCAATAAATAATCCTAGTTTCATGGAAAATTATCAAATCACCAAAACGACTTCGTACAGTATTTTAATTAATTAAAACCGACATTCGTTTAATTTTTATAAATACAAATACCGATCCAAAATTCTAAAATTTATACACGAGCATCATAAAAATATTCGAAAATTTATAAAATTATCATATTATGAAAATACTCACGGAAAAGTGTCGGAAATTAACATAACCATGAAAAATACGATTTTCGGGCCAAATTATCAAAACTTAAAACTCTGAGGGACTAAGCTGTATATACTGAATACATGGGGGACTGGTCTGGGAATTTGCGGATCAGTCTTTAGCAATGGTCGTCTTCGTCACAAAAAGACTGTAAGTTTCGTTGCTAAAACCCAGAACTTGCATATACGTTAATAACTCGAATTAATCTTCCAGAGTCGGATCCATTACCTTTAGGTAGATCCAAAAACTGGATTAAATTATTCTGGACGTCGTTCCTCCTCGTCGATCGTTGTTCATGTCCCCGGCGTCTTATCGCAAAGCTATGGTTTAATACGCAGGCGAGTTGGTTAGCTATAATATAACTCGAGTATGAAGGATACTTGGACTCAAGATTCTTGCCGAACCCGGGTCGTGTTGGCTTGTCAAGAGATGGTGGTACCAAGGAGGGTCGTGCTCTTGGTCGGCGGTCGAGACGTGTTGTGGCTTGTGTGAAAACTAGAGGAAGTCGGGGTGACGGACGGACGACAGTTCTTGTTTGACCTAACGGAAGGGCTGCTGCTTGCTGAGGAACCCGGAGAGTTAGATGGTGATGACCAAGGTCACGTGGGGAGATGGATGAAGTGACGATGTCACTTTGAAGAACAATCGGCCGGTGATGCGCGGGAAGAAGAGTTGGGTCGTTCGTGAAAGGAAGGGGAACTTCAACTTAATGTAGATAGCACCGACAATGGCGGCGGGCAGGGAGAGTTGAGTTGGGGTCGAGTGGCATCGATCTCCCTCTGTGCTTGGCCATATAATTGTAAACATTGAACATGGCCTCCTTCCTATTTATCATTCTCGTGACTCACTTCTGCCCCCCACCTACCGTGATCCCAAACATGAACTACATTTAATTTTTGATGATGGCGTTTGCAGAATTGGGTGGGGAAAATAATTGGGTCTTGGGGTTATATTATTCTGGGTTAATTGGGACACAGAGAGGGGGTTTACTGGCTAGGTTAATTGGGGCCAAGAGGGAAGGGGAAATGTTGGAATTGACGTGGGGATGGGGTGGTTTTCCTGTTTTTGTTTTTTTTTGTTTTACTAATAATAATAGTAATAATTATAATGGTTATTACTATTCCTAATCCGCAATCCTTTATACGTAACCCTCTATTCAATCGTTCACTTACTATAGTCGAACTCAAACCCAAATGTCAGGGTGTTACACAATCCCTTCAAAACCGACCACTTTTCCTAATTAATTTAGTCTTGGACGAATTTTCCACCTAACTTGAACCCTCTTAAAAATTCAGATAATAATTTTTCTACATCAATCATGAGTACTTATACCCTGGAAAATTATCAAACCCTTAAAAACTCCTCGGAAATATTTTTATTTAATTAAAATGAATGTTCGAACAATTTCTAAAATTAAAAATACATCTTCAAAAATCCACAAATAAATTTACAGCCATCTCTTGGACCTTTCTCAATTTATAAAAAAATTTAAACTCAAGAAAAACCAGCTTTAGTGACCACCCAAATTCTGTCACTAAAGGCCTGAACGTCTGTTGCTAAAACCTCAGAATTGCACCCTCACGAAAAATCAACAAATCGATCGATCTAACTCAAAAGGATCGAGTTCCCTTACCTCTAGAACGTGCCTAGGCCTAGGTTGGATGACCCGGGATGTTGATCTCCTCGTTGATCGAACCCTCAACGTCACCGCTAATAAAAACCCGAGTTTCGGATTAGACTATCGGTAAATCGAGTTTAGAGATCGCGAAAGGGTTTGTGATCCTTACCTAGAACACGAGAGGGATGGGATCGGGATCGGCTGTCGACTCGCGCGAGCTGGTGAGTTAATTGGCGGCGGTCGCTGGGGAATTGATTTGGAAGGCGGTGGGGCTTGGGGTTTTCTCGCGGGGGAACAGAATGGCAGTGGGCGGCTGGGGTTATTTTCTTGCCTGGGAAAATAACAAAGGGAGGGGAATTTGTTGGGGAAAGGAAATATGAAGAGGGTCGGGGGTTTGGGACAATTAAATGGGCGGCTGGGGGAAATAGAGAGGGCCGCCCTCTCAGCCCCAGGTCCGCCCTTTTCTATTTTTTTAATTAAAATAATAATAATAACTTTATTATTATGATTACTACTAATCCGTGATAGCAACTTTTAGTACGCCACTGACAACCCAATCGATCACGTATTATGATCGAATCATAATCCAAAATTCGGGCTGTTACAATCTTAGTCATTTGGGCCATTTATCTCCAAATCCTAGCCCTTTGAGTAACTCAAACAAGAGAGACCATTCAACTCTGTCATAAGCTTTTTCCATGTATAGATTTAAAGCCATCCATTTTTCCTTGCCTTGAGTTTTGGTTTTGAGACATTGCATCACCTCTTGCCCGATTAGAATCTTGTCTGTGATAGATCTATCTTTCACGAAGCCGTTTTGGTTGGGGCCCACAATGAGAGGAAGGAAGCAACTCAACCTATTTGCTAGAATTTTAGCAATGATCTTGTAGAAAACTTGGCAGAGTCCTATATGCTTAATTTGTTTCATGGTTTGAGCATTTGGAGTCTTGGATATAAGCGTGATCAGCGTATGATTAAAGTTATGCAACAATCTTCCCGTATGAAAGAAGGAGAGGGCAGCATCACAAAGGGATTCCCCAACCACATCCCAAAATGCTTGAAAGAAAATACCAGTAAACCCATCTATCCCCGGGGATTGGTAAGACCCGATCAAGAAACTAGCATCTTTTATCTCTTTTCTTGTAACTGTTGAAGCAAGGCAAGTATTAATATAATCATTCACTTTCTTCTGGAGAACCCAAGCTCAAAATTAAATCATGAACTAAAGGTTGATTAGATAGGAAGAGTCCCATAAAGTATGTAACTGCCACATTGGCTTTAGCTCCTTCCTCTAAACGAACTAAGCCATTATCATCCTTGAGGGAAGAATTGTGTTCATCCTTCTCTTCTGGTTTGTAATGGTATGAAAGATATGAGTATTAGACTCCCCTTCCCGAAGGTATGTAACTCTAGATTTTTGTTTCCAATAAATCTCTTCTTGTAGATAGGAAGATGATAATGATTGTTCAAGCCCCTTAATCGCCTTCCAGTAAACAGATGAAGCACTTCTGGCTGTATCAATGGCTAGACGAAGTTCTTTTATCTTCCTAGCCGAATTAGAAGTACCCTTTTTCATCCATTCAACAAGGTCATGCCTCGAAGACTTGAGGTTATTGAAAAATTGGAATTGCCTTGTACCAGAGGTTTGATTACCCCATTTTTCAGCAAAAGCTTGTCTTGCTTCCGAATTTTTTGCCCAACGGCTATCGAAGTGGAAGCGATGTTGTCCCAAATTTTGAGGCGGGATGAGTTGCAACAAAATCTTTCGGTGATCCGAACCTAGATCTGATAGGTGAGTTACCTTGGCGAGAGGCCAAAGGTTTAAAGCCAAAGTGGCGACTAAAACTCTGTCCAGTCTAGCCATAATATGATCCAAAGCCGATCTGTGATTTGTCCAGGTGAAGTTAGGGCCATTAAAGCTTAAGTCTTGCAGACTTGAATGGAGGCAAAAATTTCTTAGTTGGTCCAGGGCAGAAAGAGCAGCGCATCTGCCTCCTGATTTTTCAGAACTGTCAAGGATACAATTAAAGTCCCCGAGGACAAATAATGGAAGAAGTACAGTTCGAATAATGTCAGATAATTCATTGAGTTGATTTTGCCTAGTCCCTACGTCACAACTAAGGTGAACAAATAAGAAGTGAGCTCTTCCGAGTCTTGGATGGTTGCATTCTAAGGAAATGTAGAAGCGACATTTGTCTCGAATAATACAATCTACATCCGATGACCAACCCACTGCTAAACCACCAGATAGGCCAATAGCACTGACGAGACGATTTTCTTTAAAGCCAAGGTTTCTAATTTTGTCTCCGACCAAATCATCTTCGTTTTTTGTTTCACTTAGAAACAAAAAATATATTGAGTAACGACTTACCGTTTCGGCTAGCTGCCTATTGGTTGTTATAGGGCCAATCTCTTGACAGTTCCAGAAGAGGATTCCCATGATCGCAACCAACAATTTGCCAATAGAAGTTATTAGCTTAAGAGACCTAAGAATAGAACGTAAAAATGTTTATATCAATGAGACAACACAACAAGAATAGATGTCTTTCATTGAATCAAAGCGTAGATCCTATTTTCACAAATGGATTTATGCTAACAGTACTCTACTGGAAGTACTATAGAGATGACAAGCATCTAGTAATTCGATCAAACAGGTGATATCAGGTAGGCAGAATGAGTGACTTAATCCGGCAAGGAACGACGTTGATCAGCTATCCAGTCGAAGTACCCAACCACGAACAGAAGAAGCATACGACAGGGCCACACAGCTACGCATTAGGAATTAGGGGAACCATTCTCACTGGAAGAACAATCTGCAACTTTATTTAAACTAAACACATACCTTCTACAGGGGAAAGGGGATCAGTATGTGATATGAAAATATTCAAAAAATAAAATCAACATAAACCAGGCAAGCAAGGATTGCAGAGGAGAATCAGTGTCCATCAAAACAACACACACGAGATTATCGGGTGGAGGATGCAGCCAATCCTCTCAAAATTAGCACAAGATCCTGAACTTGCCTTTGTCTATACATCCTGCAATTGAAAGCGATGTGGAAGCAGCAGCCAGTCCCCTCAAAATTACGACCGAGACTTGAGGAAAATAGGTTGAGAATTGCCGGCAAGAGCAGTTGGCGAGAGGATCAGGCCTTTGAAGTTGCTTTGCTCTATTCCTCCTCATTCTGCTTTTCCCCCAGATTCTCAGAACCTAGGTGGAGAACCACCCAAATTCATCACTAGTCCTTCAAGGAGAAAGCTTCGCAGATGAAGGAGAGCACAAAGTTGGGATAGTTGGAAGGACCGAAAGGGTTGGACGACCTTAATCATCGCCTTGTTCAGGCCAGTGCTGATCGAACCAGACGGAGGGACGATAGCCATAGATGATCTCGACCTTTCCGGATCGTACTCCATGATTTGCGGTCTCCTCTAGCCACAATCCTTCAGGATCCCACGCTCTTCGTTGGTACTGTGAGGTATAATCTTGACCTTTGTGGAAAAACAAGAGGGACTGAAAGCCACCGATTAGCCTGTGATTTGACGGTGAAAAAAATTATCCGCTAAACTAACTAGAAGTTTCCAGCGGCGAGATTACAAGAAATAAGATTGACACTCAGAGGGAGAAAGGCAGGAGTAGAATGGGTCGCCAAAGTAATTGGTTGGGCCTAAAATTTAACCCACACTCGAAGAGTGGGACGCCAGAGTAGAAGAATAGGTCGTCGCAGTAGTTGATTGGGCCTAAAGATTGGGCCTAAAAAATCATCAAAACTTCAACCTGCATAAACATGTATTTCTGTCAAGTTGAAATATCATTTAGCCTCTTGGGAAATGGATGTTGTTAACTTTGTCATTCAACCAATCAACAGACAAAAACATGAAGCGGTAAAACACTGTCTCTAGGATTGCTCAGATAAGAAACACTAGATTCTGATAGATTAACATTCACCACTCTAGAGTAGGAATTATAACAACATTCAAGCTTAAGCAAACTATACAGAAGGTTCACACTGTCATGGTTACAGGGGGTTCTTCCCCGCCCCGAACTTTGATCAGCAAGGCACCCTGAGTTCACCATAGAATTTAACCAGAAAGAAAATGATCTAACATAAACTGCAGTTTTACTTAATTGTAGAATCCGCTAAAACACACCGATATAGAAGGATCAAGATGGATAGTAAGGGGTCTTCTTTTATTCATTCATGACATGAAAGGTAAACACTCCAAAACCGTAGTATTAGGCAGAACTTAAATCACAATAACGAGACAAGCTAACAATCTGAAAAAGGAAATTTAAATCCAAAGTAAAGACCCCTTTGACTGTTCCTTTTGGCCATAAAGATCAGCCACTTCCTGGTTTGGCTGAATCATCAATAGGCGCATTCAAAGTCTTGGAGGTTTGATCTTTAGTCTCCTCAATGAATAGAGCTCTATTGGTACGAGGGAAAAGCTTTTTGGCCTCTTATCTGTTGTAAACCATTGGGTCTTTCCCTTTTCGTTTGCGGCTTTCCTGCGCTTCTAGGCAAGTCAGAGAATTTGGAGATGTCTTTGGGTAGAAGTTCTTGGGAAGAGTCAAAGGACCCCTCGGTGGTTGAATCTGCATCGGGTTACTTTCCAGGGACTTATAAAGATCAGAGGGAGCCATCACTGCAGTTTCATCATATCCGTCCTCCTTTTGAAATATCCCCTGGGATGAGTCATCAGGTAGTTCAACTAGGCTGACTCAGCTTCTTGAGGACTGAAAGAGGCTCACATTATCATCCTGAATTAGGGTCCTGACATTTGATATTGCGACAACCAGGAGAGGAGGCGCTGCAGGCTTTGAATTAGCCAGCTTGCCAAGTTGCAGCTGGTCACTACTATGGGAACCGAGTAGATTAGGATTAACCCACACATTTTGTGGGAGCCTTCTGTTTGCAGCAGAATGAACAGGACGGAAGGTGTGTTCATTCAGTTTCATACCACCCCCTCTGCCCCTCAGTTCATCACCGAACCTGAAGCTTGCCCCCGAGACTATTAGAGAGGAGCAGGACCAGTGCTAATGTCCAATAATTCCACAGTTGAAGCAAAAAGTTGGAAGGTTTTCATATTTTACCTTAGCTTTGAAAAATACGACAGTTTCCCCTTCAGCCGATAATTTCTTGGCTTCCACTTCCTTCTCCAAAGGCTAGGAGATGTCCAACGTCACAGTGGATTTGATTAAGTACCCCGGACCCTGCTTATAGAAGAATAGAGCTGTTTCTTTTACTGGACCCAATTGTTCAGCTAGCTTTCTCCCAACAGCCACAGTTCGGAACGAAGGCGGCATCTCCCACATCTGGATGGTAAATGGG